TATTGGTTCAAATGAGAACGAGGCTTAACGTGAGTACGTGAGAACACATCCTGGCCATCCAAAATATATGCTAACATACGATCAACTAAAGGGTATAAAGGGTATATATTGTGGCGGTTTGTGTAACTGATTTTTTGATTAATACGTTGAGTGCTTTATTAGTGGAAGCATTAAATGGAATTATATTAGTAATCATTCGTAGGTTATTTAATTTGGTAAGTATTTGACCGGTCATCATTATTTAAGCTTAGTTCACCTACGTATTTAGTTTTGGTTGGCAATTGACTTTTTGATGTTATTATATTGAATATAATCAGTTATTTTGGAATCTTTTGATACATTCACAGTACAAAAAGACCTTTTTACATCATACTTTTTACATAGGTTATCTAATAACCCATCTAGAATAGTAACGCGGGGTTAATTTTATAATTTCCATAAATGTGTTTACATCAGTTCCTTGCCTAACAGATGTGAAATAGAGTTCGGAGGCATAATTTACAATTTAATAAACTATATACTACTTCAGTTGTAATTCTATCCGATGTTAACCAAAAAAAGACGGACACTTTTTATAAATGTTGAGATTTGCTTTTGACATGTGTTATAATATAGCCGACTTTGAAGTTTAATAAAGACTTTGAGATCTGACATCTCCCTTAGCTTATAATAGTGTCGTTCCAGATCTAACACTCGGTATATACGCAGCACCGCCAAAGTGTAGAAAGCACCGCCGACTCGCAGAAGCACCGTGTTCCACCGACGAACTCGATGAGTGCAACTAATCGTACTAATGAGCGGCTAGCGGGGAGTGAAGCTCCACCACCGTCGCCCTATAGACTCCGGCCACACCCAGAAGCTCTGTCATCGCCGTCCCACACTCTCACGCACTGGCTAATCAGAAATCCGACCAAGTTGCCAAGGATCGGTGTCCGCAAGAGTGACCATCGCCACTGGACCACCTCTTCTATTTCTTAAGGTGATATTTATATTTATATATGTATATATAATGACCTAAAATTTGCATCATAAATTTGTATTGATTTATTTATTTTTAGTTTTTATATCATTCCAAAGATAAAAATTTCTTATCTTGAATAAAATGTATAAAATATATTTTGACTTTTGAATTTGGTTAGAATGATATTTTTTTGGATGGGACACATAATGTTGTATGTGTTTACTTCGTTTGAATTTGTTTAGTCTGAATTCCTTTGGACTGAAAATAGTTTTTAGTGTGGCTAGGTTTACGAGATATTTTTTGATAATTGATATTTGTTTAGCGTCCCGGTTATTCTGTATATCTTGGTCAAGTTTCTTCTACAGGCTCACCTACAGTTCTGTAAAACAACATAAACAACCTGCTTAAGTGCTAATACAGGGGGGAAATGAGGTCTATCGTCTTTGAGTGCTAATAAAGTGCAAACAACCGGTGTGTGCTTTATATTTCTATGAAGAGACAAGTTATTTATTTAATTAGGATAAGAAAATTTTAATGCATGATGTATTGATTGGTTTTGAGTCCCGAATGTTGCAGTAAAGATAAGCTATCTGTAGTCAGTTAGCTTTCAGCAGGAGGTTCTCTCTGAAACACATGTAGTTCATAAAGACTATTGTGCAAAAGGTATGTTTGTTAATTTTATTTTTCTTTTTTCTGATAGGGGTTTCTTAATTTTCTTAAGCAATAATGGGTGAATATACAGTCTTTGCTTTTATTGGACTGGTTAGCTAATATGGATAACATTACTTTCACTTTCTCCAGACTATACTATGCTTCACGACAATATATTTTGTTTGGCTGACCCTTTTCAGGACAATTTAGTATGCTACACATCCATGATAACACCTAGTACTTATGGCAAGACTTCGAAAATACATATGAGCAAGGTGAAAGGTAAACTCTTATTCCATATCGTCTTGATAAGAAGAAGTTATGCTTCATCTGTATCTGATTTTTGAATGCCTGAATCCGAATTTAGGCAGTGTTTGTTTGCAACTGTGGCTTTACTACTTAAGCTAATGTGTTCATATCACGCAATCTTGAGCTTCCAGTAAGGGGATGAGGTATGGTTGTTGCCTGATCTTTCTTGTATGCCATTTTGTCCAGATTACTTCTTAATCCTTATGTATTTGGCCTCAGTGAGAAAACCTCACACAACTTGCTGCTTAAAGGATTTTTTTTAGAATCTGTATCTATCTGTAGTTTTATACTCTTATTTATTGTCCCTTCATCAGCTAAAAATTGTCCTCCTTAAGCCCCTTAAATTAAAATTTATAATTTCATTTCCAAAAGACCCTTATAGTTCGAATTTGAAATTAAAACAATTACTAGTCAATTAATCATTCATAGCACACTATATTAAGTAGACTCTGCAATGTCTAGTCATTTTAATTACTAGTGTTTGTTTGTGGATGGATCATTTCTCAAGTGTTTTTTTGTGGATGGATCATTTCTCAAATGTTGCTATTTTGCAGTTAGTAGAGAATTGGGTGGAAGTATGATTACTTCTCATTATTTATGTTGTGGTGTTTAGGTCTCTGTCTACAAAACCCTTGCTTTGGATGACAAACAGGGAGTATGAACTAATCGATAGGTGTCAAGTTTTCTCCTCCACTGAAGAGACACTGGGAAATTGTGTATCGCTGCCATGCTCATACGAATGCACCAACGTGATGCTGCTGCTTTTTGTGTGCCAAATAGCTGACATAGCCATATCATATCTCAAGTTGATGCAGCCCCATAAGTGTTAAAGCCAACTAGTACATAAGTTCGTTTTAAGATTCCCAGTAACAAATGTTATACTCCCTCCGTCCCATAATTATCTTCATTCTTTCCTTTTTGGCCCGTCCCAAATTTATCTTCTCTTTCCCTTTTTAGCAAAGGGTTTGTGGTTCACAACCATTCTTACACATTTCTCTCTCCTCTGCACAACTCTCCACCACACATTTCCCACTTTCTTAATCCCCGTGCCCAGTCAAAACCGAAGTTAAATCTGGGACGGAGGGAGTACTTATAATGTGTAGGGAATATTATATTTATTGTTGTTAATTTGTGTACGATTGCGCTTTGGCATTTCAGTTCTCCTGGAATCACGTTTTTCACATCAATGAAATCTTTATGTCAGTTATTTTTGTAGGATGTGATTGCTTTTTATTTTTCATATAAATGAAGTTTTTATGTCAGTTATTTATATGATATGGTGTGATTAAAGTTATTAACCGTAATGGCTTTTTTAAAACATGAACAGTCACATCGGTTATTCATAAAACTGATGTTGATTTTTTACCACATCGGTCGAAAGCGATGTTGAATGTATTGTGTAACGATGACTTTCATGTCTTTTCAAAATCGGTTATGTCATAACCGATGTAGATTCTTCAACATCGGTCAAAACCGATGTGGTATGTCCTTGGCAAAGTCCATGTTGACGATTCATCTAAATCGGTTATAGAACAACCGACGTTAAAAAGATTTGACATCGGTTACAGAACGGATGTGAAAAGTCTTCATTTTTCACATCCCCTGGATCTACATCGGTTGTATAACCGATGTTAAAAGCCCGTTTTAACTGATGTGAAATGCCTTTTTTGCACTAGTGATTATAATTGTTGTTATCTTTCAATTCATACATATTCATTTCATTTGCATTATATATTCATTCTTGTGCATCACATTATAATATATTTGCACATGTTTCATGTGTATTACATTGATTCTAATGTGTTATATACGAATTATTTGCACAATACTTTTTCATGTGCATTTGTGCGTATGATATTGGCTCTTGTGCTTAAGATACTTTTTTTTTAATTTTACTTATACGTATTACGTGGTAGATAATGGTTCTTGTGCATTAGATTTTAGTGATTGTGTGCCTGATGTATATTCGTGTGCATGCGGTAGCTGAAGTTGTTTGTTGTGGTCATTTATATACATATTATACTTATTTTTTCAAAACAAAATTATATATGACATATTGATGTCATATGAAAGATAATTAAAAAAAATATTTAATTTGATAAATTTATTCATGTGCTAACATATATATTATCCAAACAAAGAGTAAGATGTTCGGTTCATGTGCTTTAAATATTAATTGTCGTGTGTGATACTGATTCTTGTGTGTTATATATTAGTTTAAGTTGTGTGAAATTCTTATTGTGTGTAGTAGTTTTTAATTGTTGTGTTAGACACTGCTCTTTGTGCATTAGATATTGGATGTTGTGCTTAAGATACTTGTTTTAGTTTTTCTTACACGAATTGTGTACTAGATACTTGTTCTTGTGTGTTATATATTAGTAGTTGTGTGTCAGATACATATTCTTGTGTATGCGTAGTCAAAGATGTTTGTTGTGGTTTATTGTATACATATTATACTTATATTTTTTAAAACAAAATTATATATGACATATTGGTGTCATTTGAAAGATAATAAAAAACTCTTTAATTCGATATAATTTTTGTTAATTAAAAAATCAGATTATAATTAAAAAAGTTAAATCAATTTTTAAACTAAAATATTTTATATGATTTGACCTTTTATCTTTTCCTGATTTTTTGGTAAGTGATAAAGTTCCAAGATGCCACATTAAACAATTGCTTAAAATTACTCTAGTGTCCTTCATTAGCCTACGTATGGATTAGATAGTGCAAGAGTATTTATTTCATGTTTGCACTCCCATGATAAATCCATGCATCTCATCCTTTTATGACCTTTAATTTACTATGATGTATGGCTAAGATTTGTTCTCACGTTCTCACAATAAGGAGTGTTCTCATTAGAACCACTCCCTATATATATATATATATATATATATATATATATATATATATATAGAGAGAAAAGATCCTATGAGAAGTCCTAATTAGGCTGAAAAGTGAGAAGTCATGGGAGCCGTCCGATTGATTAGTCTGCCTCGTCCGATTGTTTTAACACAGCCGTTTCATTAATGGCATATTTGTAGTTTTTGTTAACTACGTATCTTTTTGTTAAAGGCATGTTTCCTTCTGTATCCGTCTCGCCTTCGAACGACAAAATCCGATTCCATGGCTGCGCAGTTTTATCTATGAAGTTTATCACCTACAACGTCTAACCGTACAAGGGGAAAACACAAGTTTTGGGGACGACGACTCCTTATCGAAGACATATCGAAGGTCTGATTCATCTTCCTTTTTCCTAATCTGAACTACTAAACTCTTCCCCTCAATCTGCTCCAATATATCCGCTGCGATTTAATTTAACCTGGGATTTGGTTTTGATTTTGTGAATTCTAAATTATGATTTAATATATTCCGATTGAATTATCTTCCAACAAACAATTTTGCTCGTTACTTTTTTGCCTTATTTTTTTTTATAAATCAATTGAAAGTATATATTATGCCCATCATGTGTTTGTTAGAATGTTTCAACGGTAATAGAATTAGTTCGAGTCTAGAGTGTAATTTTATGAATAACGTATGAAACTCATTGACTGGTTTTTTTTATTAAACCTTTCTCTGTATAGTTATAGTTTTGTCCTCTTAAATTTACATTTTTATTACTATTTAAACCTTCTAACATTTAAACCGGAGTTTTCAATAAAAGTTATATATTTTGATTTAATAGTTATTGTTATTTGAGTAAAAGTTTTTTAGTTGACAGAGAACCTCAAATTCCAATCACTGTGTATAGTACTTTGAAAGTTTGAATTGATGTAGGAAACCCAAACAATTGATTTGGGAACTCAAACCATGGGCCTTGAAATAGAATAGTACTAGGGGTGCATTAGTTTTTTTTTTTATTTGCAGCAGTTTTGGAAATTGTTTTTTTAATTGAGTATTGCATGATATTGCTGAAGTTGTAATTGTGTATAAATCATATTTGTTGACTGGATTTTCTTTGTCTTAATGTTGATTGCTTTTCAGTATAATGGATCAAGTTGATGATGTTGATGTGAACTCAACTGTGAACTCAACTCCATTCTTGAGCACTTCCTTTTCTTCTAAACAATGGATTCCATCTTGCCCTCCTGATTGTAAACCTGCTGTTGGTATGACTTTCTCTTCCTTAGCAGATGCTAATCTCTTTTACAATCGGTATGCTTCGATATGTGGATTTGAAGTGCGGTTAGGAAGTGATAATAAACATCGAGATGGTACTGTTTTAAGGAAATATTTTCTATGCAACAAACAAGGTTTTAAAGAGGATAGTGACAGTACCCAAAAGCGTATGCTTAAATCTGAAAAACAGAAATCTGGTAAAAGTGCATCTCGCCGAACTGCCCTAAAGAGAACGGGCTGTCGTGCTTGTATGAAAGTCCGTTTTTCTTCTTTTGGTTCATATACAGTATACCGGTTTCATGAGCCACATACACATGAGTTTACTACTCCCAAGAGTCAAATGTTTCAAAAGCAAAACCGTAATATGACTGTGGTTCATAAGAAATTTATTTTTGACAATGCAAAGCTTAACAAGGGAGCAAGTTTGTCTTTTCATATGATGAAAGAACATGTCGGTGGGTATGCAAACATTGGTGCTTCTTTAGTTGATTTTAAGAACTGTTATCGTGATTTGAAGACATATGTTAAATATGGAGATGCGCATATGTTTATTGAGTCTTTTAAGCAAAAGGTTGCTCATTCAAGTGGTTTCTTTTTTGATTATGTTGTTGATGAGACTCAGAGATTGACTAGAGTTTTTTGGGCAGATGCATTATGTAGGAAACATTATGCTTTGTTTGGTGATATGGTTACGTTTGATTCCACATTTAGCACCAACAAATATTCTATGATTTTTGCACCTTTTACTGGGGTTGATAACCATCGAAAATGCATTACCTTTGGTTGTGCCCTAATTGCAAATGAAGATGTGGATTCATATACATGGGTTTTTGATACGTTTTTGCGTTGTATGGGTGGTTGTGAGCCTGTAAGTATTGTGACAGATCAAGACCCTGCTATGAAAATAGCCATACCCAAAGTCTTTGAGAAGTCAAAGCATAGGTTTTGCATGTGGCACATAATGAAGAAAGTCCGTGAAAAAGTAGGGTATAAACTTTGTGATGAAACTGATTTTCTTCTCCGTTTGAATGCTGTTGTTTGGAATCGTGAACTAGAACCTGATGAATTTGTTAGTGGTTGGTTGGCAGTTATGGATGAATTTGGATTGCAGAAACACGATTGGTTTATGAATTTGTTTGATATTAGAGACATGTGGATTCCTGCCTATTTCAGAGATATTTTTTTAGGTGGCATTTTAAGATCTACTCAAAGATCAGAGAGTGAAAATAATTTTTTTAACCACTTTTTAAATCCATTCCTATCGTTGGTTGAATTTGCATCTCGCTTTCAAACTGCCATAGAGTCTCAACGCTACCACCATGACCAGTTGCATGCTAATTCCAAGAAATCATTTCCTCAATTGCTAACACCATTACCAATTGAAAAGCATGCTTCTGAACTTTACACCCTCACTGTTTTTTACTTGTTTCAAACTGAGTGGAAAGCTGCTTGTTTTTCTTGTGGTATTCAAAGCTTCATTACCGATGAATCGGGCTTGGATCATGTGTGTGTTGTTGATATTCTTCGTGAGAAAACGTATAAAGTTACATATAATCCCGGTGATCATGCTAGTTCTTGCTCTTGCAAGATGTTTGAGAGGGAAGGTATCTTGTGCCGTCATGTTCTATTCATAATAAAAGGTAAGGGTGTTCGTGAGCTTCCCAGTCGATATATACTAAATCGTTGGACAAAAAAAGCTTTGGAAAAGCCTATTTTTGACTGTTCTGGGAACATATTGGAAGAATGTATTGCTGATTCGAAAAATAAGTTGGTGGGTGATCTGTGGTCATCCTTTTTCAGTTGTGTTTCTCTTGCTGAAAGTTCAAATGATGATTTGGAGAAGTTATTGGACATGATTGAATCTTTCAAAGGCTCTATTCTTTCAAAACATACTTCCAATGATGTTGGAAAAAGTTCAAATGATATTGAAAGCCTCATAGGTATTAGCTCTTCATCAGAATATAGCATTCATCCTCCGAACATTTCTGTCAATAAAGGCAGAAAAAAAAGAATGATTAGCAAGCGTGAAGAAGCTATACATAAAAAGAGGTCAAGTAATGTAGGAAAAAGTGACGCTTGTGCAACAGAGGATCAAGTCAAGAAGCCAAGAACATGTAAATCTTGTGGTGAAGTTGGTTTCCATGATAGTAGAAACTGCCCTAATAAAGAATGTGACACTTCTTCAAGGTAATAAGTTGTTTATTATTTTATTTTTTTGTAACTTTTCAATTTCTAACTGGTACTTTTTTTTTGCAGTTCTTGATACATTGGACTCATATCCATTAGCTTCCTGCCTCTTGCTCTTTTCCAAGTATTGCATTGAAGTTTGATTTTCTTATTGTTTCTTTAGTTTTGCATGTTCCCAAATTATGAATTGAGCTTGTGGTGCATATGGTTTCCATTATTGTAAAAATTGCCCTAATTTATAACTTTCTAACTATTTTAATTCTCTCGTACTTTTACACTTTCTAACTGCTATTTTTTATTTTTTTGCAGTTGAACTCAAACCATGGACTCATCTCCACTTGTTACCCCTTGATCTCTTTATCAGTTTTGGACTCTTGCTGCCTCTTAAACTCTTTTCCAGTTGTTGACTCTTGCTTTGTCTTTAAATTTGTTGGAGCTTCATTTTCTACATTTTGCCAAGTTGTTGATTAAGCTTTGCATTTTATTGTCTTCACTTTCTGGCTTTTCTTTTGTAGTTGTTAGTTTGTGAAGTCAATTTTCTGTCTTTTTTGAGTTATAGTCCGTGATTCAACTTGTAATGACACTTTGAGCATTTAAAGTATCTGTAATAGTATTTCTTTGGAGCTTCTGTCAAGTATCTATAATATTTTTATTTATGTTAGGCAAAAGCGTATCATTGAAAACCAAGTCTAAACTTAAAGTTTGCTAATAAAGAAAAAAAATCACTTATTGTATCAGTTCAGAAAAATACAACAAATCAAAACATCTTATCATTGGCAGCTCTATTTAATTTAATCATTTGGAAATAAAAAATTTAAAAGTAATAATACTCTTAAGAAAAATTTATGATATTTTCATTGTTTACCTTCTGGTTATTTAGCATCATTAAACCTTCTATCAGATGAAACCGTATGATGCTGAGATTCTTCTTTGTTCAAGTCTTATGTTAATGTTATAAAAAACAAAGAAGTCACTTTTAAATGGATTACGGTTACTTTTAATCTCAAATACATTACTTTTAGCAGAAATCCATCATATTATTTCATTTTTAATATAAATTATTATATTAACTTCATCTTCATCATTTACTGCATCTTTTTCCTCTTCAATGTTCTGCTCTAGTCCATAAAATCAAGAACATACTTTTAACCTCACAAGATTACTTTAAATTTACAACATACTCCAAATTAATCACAAAATTAACCACATTTATACGAGGAACTGATCATAATATTTCTAAACATATTAAACAATACCACAACTATTAATTAGCAAATAATTTTTTTGACTCCTTTACAAAATCTCAAGCTTCTAATAATTAGTTTCGATACAACTAATATAGTTGTAATCATAACTTCTAAAACTAAATCAAGGATTGCTTATTCGTGTTAATCCAGTGTGATTTCCAATTGAAGTTTTGAAAGGAGACCATTATTACATATGTTTGACCATCTTAGGTGATTTAATTTGGTTCCACTATATCACATCTGAATTGGATCGAAGCAGAGGATTTTGTGATTAACAAATCATGACAATTCATGTGCGAAAGAGGGGACTCCTGTCCAGTTCTTTGTAATTTAGGGCTTCTGTGAAACACTTGAACCTGGAATTTGCTAGGAGAAGAAATCAGGGTGGAAATTAGAGGCGAAACTTTAAAGAAGCCTGGGAATTTATACATCTTATTAAACATCTGAAGCATTAGGAATTATTCGTTTTCCTTTGCATTATGCAAAAGCAATCTCAAGAGTTCAATTTGCCTTGGCTTTTTCCCCATAATTTTTGACTCCTTTACAAAACCATCATCATAACTTCTACCATAAAAACTAAACCAAAGTTATACAATAACAAGTTACTTCTCAGTCACAAATATCCACTTTAAGTTGAACAATAATTACAAAGCCCTTTTTCCTTCTTTGATTCCCTTCATTTTTATGAACTCGTTAATCTTCTTCTTCACTTCATTGATCACTTCATTTTTTTCAAACCCGGTAAGGGAAGAACAAATTTCTGCGCGATGAAACTTTCTATCTTCCACCTGTTATGAATAATCTTATTAGTTCATTATATGACCCAAATAAACAAAAAAGAATTACCAGAAAATTTAATAAAAAGTTTAACTAACCTTGTTCAGACTATACTTGAAACTCACTCCCTCAAACAAGAACATTGTCATGAGCAAGTATACACCACAATCGTTACTATCTCTCTTAAGTTTCCAATCAAAGTTCACTTCTTCAAACACATACTTTGGCATTTGTTTTACCTTTGGGTGCTTTTTCTTCTTCAAGTAGATCGACATCTCTAAGCACTGTTTTGAAAACAATCATGGTTATTAGTCCTATACTAATAATTATATCAATTAAAAAGAAAATTTAAGAACTTTTACCAGTATTCCAGCAAGATATTTGAAAAGACTGACGTCCTCCTTTATCCTGTAGTCCACCAATTGTGCTTTCTTCGACAGTGTATTTATAAAAATGGATGAATAGTGGTTGTTGTGCAGAAATGGAATCACTAACTGCAAGTAGATCGACAACACTATATTTTAGTAAAAGACCCCATTAGAAGAATTTAAAACTGCAATTTAAGGCAATAGAAGAATTTAAGACTGCATCTTTACTACCAAAAGGCAATGCATTACTTCTTATGCAATTGCAATCCTAATTTTCATTCTAGAATGTGAAAATGAATCTGGGGGATGGAAAATAGGTGTGGTTGTATTGAAAGAACAACAAAACAGAACAAATACACAAAAATCAACCCATATTTATAACAGAAATAAATAAATTAACCTGCTTCTATTCATAACATAAAATGTTCAAGTGATTTGCAGAATATTCAATCATTCAGTTCAGTGCATAAAATAAATACTTACAAAATTTGCTTGTGCATAAAATTATTGTTCTGTCCAAATTGCAATTGCAGTAAGGCAATCCCATTTTTGGCGAAAATAAATACTTACAAAATTTGCTTGTGCAATGTTCCATTGTTGATTATTCACAGAAAGCCATTCATCCCATGATCTATCTAAGGCAATCCTTGATTCATTATCAAATCCCTCTTGCATTATCTTAGTCAATATGGGCTGCAGAAAGATTTCATATTCTATAAATATCTATTCCAAGAATGTCCTACTCATAAAATAAAAAAATGAATTATTAGTTCTTACTGCATGTGAAATGCCAAAGTAGAATCTTTTCCCCATTTCCTGTTCGGCTATCAGCTCTTCTTCATTCAAATAATATGCCCAGCAGTTCACAATTGCAGGAGGTATAAAGCTTGTTGAGCCCAAGCACATCATATCTTTCTTTGTTACATAAAGACTTTCATTGAACCTGACAATCAGTTCTCTGGAAAACAAAACAGAAACATATCAACTTAGTAACTTCTTATATATTAGTCTATTCTTTTTATAAATGTAAATCAGAACGCAGTATTTCTTATTAATTGTTACTCGTTTTCCATTCCATCATCATAAAAACAGTAGTCCACAAGATGCTTATCAAAATCTTTCATTGATTGCCAACGAGTAGAACGCCTTTGCTTCATGAACTGTGATAGGAATGTCATTCGCTTTTCAGTTATCCCTTCTTTCCCAGCACCATTGTTCTCAGTGTTTGTTGCCTCTGGCTCTTCTCCTTCCTTATTCCAATCACCATCTTTCTGAATTGAGTGTTCCCCTTCTTCATTACTAGCACCATCTTTGTCAGTTGGCCGTTCCCTTTCTTCATTCCCAGCATCATTTTTCTTGGTTTGCAGTTCCCCTTCTTCATTCCCAGAAGCATCTTTCTCTGTTACAAATACAACATTCTCCATCTCAATGTTTCTGTCAATGTTCTCTGCTTCTGTGTTTTGCTTCATATCCATCAGCCAATCAACTACAGCATCCACAATCTCAAACGTTTTAGGGTCATTAAAAATTTTGTCTAAGCTTGTTGTGGATTGGGAGCTTTGATTTTGGCTAAGTTGTTCTTGAACGTCCATCTCTTGTGTTGGAGACATGTGAGCCCGGAACACCAGTTCCACATCCCTTTTCACCAACATCAGAGTTTTACTTTTCTCCTAAAGAAATGAGAATAAAAATAGAAACCAATTCTTTAATTAATATCTTTTCCTAAAAAATAGATTACTTATTAATAATAAAGGTGAACTTTTAAAGCATATATAAGAACTTTTAAATAAAAATACTCACATCTTTTGCTGTTTTGTTAATATCCTCATCAGTCGGCATTCCTTCTGGGATATCGTATCTGACGAACCTTGACCTTTGTTCTTCCTTGTTCAATACTTCAATTTGTTTTTGAAGACAAATATTCTGTTTTGAGATCGGGTAGGAAGAATCGATAGGGCCTCTTCCAAAATCACCAGCTTTTATCTCATCCTTTACCCTTGCTTTGATTTTCTCAGAATTCCAATTCTTGATCAAGGGCAATGTTTTTGGAACTTCAACTCCTTTGAAAACCAACCTTTGAAAATACAAAGTTTGCAGAAGCAACAAGCATCCTCCCACAAATGTATTCTCATGATTTCTTTTGAACCTTTGCACTGCACTGGACAGTTTCTTAAGCACATAACCACACCAGTTTAGATCCTTTATCTTACCAACATCTTCTAATGCAACCACCAACTGTAAACAAGCTGTCCTATTAGATGTTGGTGCCAATAAATGAGACACAACAAATAATACAAATAACCTTTTAAATTCATCTCCTCCTTCCTTCTCTTCTTTTATAGCATCAGTTATTTTTCTTAGATTTACACTGCCTGCTCCAGTTACACCAAACTTTCTTTTCCAATTCTCCATTACAAGCTGCCCTGAAGTTTTTTGTTTTGAGTTTTTTGTATTCCTTACCCATTGTGATTCAACTACTTCACTACCAACAACCCAAGGTAAAAGAAACACATCATGAACATCAGCTTCTGTGACTACAAATTCCTTGCCAGATGCAATATTGAACATCAAACTTCCACTATCAAAGTTGTTCACTAACCAAGAGACCAATCTACTATTTATTTTTGTACTTATTCTACAATTCAGTACACCTTCAAAACCAATGTCTTTGACATCTTTTACTTGTTTTTCAGACAAACTATCAAACATCTCTATCAAACAGTATGGCCTACATGCTGCTTCCAGTTTTTTTTCTTTATCAGTTCTGTATTTGATGAAAAATACAAAATATTTCAGTTTTTAAAAAGATGTGCTTGTATAACGTAACAGATCCAATCATACTAAGATGTATACCTTTTGGCTTTTAACTTTTTGGGATGAGCTTTTCGTTCAGATACAACCTTTCTCTTTCTTGGTCGTGAAGTTGTTGCAATTTGACTTGAATCACATTTTCTTTTGGACAAGGTCTTCTCTGTACGTTCAAAATCAGTCTCCTCTTCACTATTCATGTCATGTATATTTGTAGCTACATTAACAAATTAAAGTTCATTTTTAGATATCTGAACTAGAGAATACCACTTTTGAACAAATATTAAATTAAATCTTTAACTGACATACAAAGACTAAACTTATAAACTACTACACGTAACTTTTTGAAACAGAAAGTAATAAGATACCTTCTTCATTCCTTGAAGGCTCCTCATTTCCTTCAACATTGTTATCTTCCCCTATATAAGCCAAAACAGATTCATTCAAACTTTTACATAAATAACTTCTACTTTTAATAATTAAGTGTTAACTTTTAATTACAAATATTATCCAGACCTTTTATTTATTACATATTGAAGGAAATATTGTGTATACCTAGTTTTTGATTTATTTCAGAATTACTTTTAAAAGAAAACATAACATACCTTGTTCATTACTTGATCCTTCCTCATTTCCCTCAGAATTGTTCTCGTCATCTGTAAGAAGTCACAAAAAAAAAAGAAATATTCAAACTTCTATTGTAATCTTTACAACTTTTAATAATATAATTCTAACTTTTAAAAGTACAGAGAATTCATTTTCAAAACAGTAAATAAGATATATTCTTCATTCCTTGAAGCTTTCCCATTTCCCTAAACACTGTTATGCTCCTCTATAAAACCAAAACAGATTCATTCAAACTTTTATATAAAATACTTGAACTATTAATAAAATAACCATAACTTTTAATAACAAGTGTTCATAGAAGTATTGTTAAATATCATTTACAGAAATAACTGTAACTTTTAATAAGTTTTCTACTCTGTGAAAACTTATAATACCTTTTTCATTACTTGATCCTTCCTTGTTTCCCTCAGTATTGTGTTCCTCATCTATAAGAAGTCAAAAAAAAAAAGAAATATTCAAACTTCTATTGTAATCTTTAAAACTTTTAATAATATAATTCTAACTTTTAAAAGTACAGAGAATTCATTTTCAAAAAAGTAAATAAGATGCATTCTTTATTCCTTGAAGCTTTCCCATTTCCCTAAACACTGTTATGCTCCTCTATAAAACCAAAACAGATTCATTCAAACTTTTATATAAAATACTTGAACTATTAATAACATAACCATAACTTTTAATAACAAGTGTTCATAGAAGTATTGTTAAATATCGTTTACAGAAATAACTGTAACTTTTAATAAGTTTTCTACTCTGTGAAAACTTATAATACCTTTTTCATTACTTGATCCTTCCTCGCTTCCCTCAGTATTGTGTTCCTCATCTGTAAGAAGTAAAAAAAAAAAAAGAAATATTCAAACTTCTATTGTAATCTTTAAAACTTTTAATAATATAATTCTAACTTTTAAAAGTACAGAGAATTCATTTTCAAAAAAGTAAATAAGATGCATTCTTTATTCCTTGAAGCTTTCCCATTTCCCTAAACACTGTTATGCTCCTCTATAAAACCAAAACAGATTCATTCAAACTTTTATATAAAATACTTGAACTATTAATAAAATAACCATAACTTTTAATAACAAGTGTTCATAGAAGTATTGTTAAATATCGTTTACAGAAATAACTGTAACTTTTAATAAGTTTTCTACTCTGTGAAAACTTATAATACCTTTTTCATTACTTGATCCTTCCTTGTTTCCCTCAGTATTGTGTTCCTCATCTATAAGAAGTAAAAAAAAAAAGAAATATTCAAACTTCTATTGTAATCTTTACAACTTCTATTAGAATTATATTATTAAAAGTTTTAAAGATTACAATAGAAGTTTGAATATTTCTTTTTTTTTTTGACTTCTTATAGATGAGGAACACAATACTGAGGGAAACAAGGAAGGATCAAGTAATGAAAAAGGTATTATAAGTTTTCACAGAGTAGAAAACTTATTAAAAGTTACAGTTATTTCTGTAAATGATATTTAACAATACTTCTATGAACACTTGTTATTAAAAGTTATGGTTATTTTATTAATAGTTCAAGTATTTTATATAAAAGTTTGAATGAATCTGTTTTGGTTTTATAGAGGAGCATAACAGTGTTTAGGGAAATGGGAAAGCTTCAAGGAATGAAGAATATATCTTATTTACTGTTTTGAAAATGAATTCTCTGTACTTTTAAAAGTTAGAATTATATTATTAAAAGTTGTAAAGATTACAATAGAAGTTTGAATATTTCTTTTTTTTTTGTGACTTCTTACAGATGACGAGAACAATTCTGAGGGAAATGAGGAAGGATCAAGTAATGAACAAGGTATGTTATGTTTTCTTTTAAAAGTAATTCTGAAATAAATCAAAAACTAGGTATACACAATATTTCCTTCAATATGTAATAAATAAAAGGTCTGGATAATATTTGTAATTAAAAGTTAACACTTAATTATTAAAAGTAGAAGTTATTTATGTAAAAGTTTGAATGAATCTGTTTTGGCTTATATAGGGGAAGATAACAATGTTGAAGGAAATGAGGAGCCTTCAAGGAATGAAGAAGGTATCTTATTACTTTCTGTTTCAAAAAGTTACGTGTAGTAGTTTATAAGTTTAGTCTTTGTATGTCAGTTAAAGATTTAATTTAATATTTGTTCAAAAGTGGTATTCTCTAGTTCAGATATCTAAAAATGAACTTTAATTTGTTAATGTAGCTACAAATATACATGACATGAATAGTGAAGAGGAGACTGATTTTGAACGTACAGAGAAGACCTTGTCCAAAAGAAAATGTGATTCAAGTCAAATTGCAACAACTTCACGACCAAGAAAGAGAAAGGTTGTATCTGAACGAAAAGCTCATCCCAAAAAGTTAAAAGCCAAAAGGTATACATCTTAGTATGATTGGATCTGTTACGTTATACAAGCACATCTTTTTAAAAACTGAAATATTTTGTATTTTTCATCAAATACAGAACTGATAAAGAAAAAAAACTGGAAGCAGCATGTAGGCCATACTGTTTGATAGAGATGTTTGATAGTTTGTCTGAAAAACAAGTAAAAGATGTCAAAGACATTGGTTTTGAAGGTGTACTGAATTGTAGAATAAGTACAAAAATAAATAGTAGATTGGTCTCTTGGTTAGTGAACAACTTTGATAGTGGAAGTTTGATGTTCAATATTGCATCTGGCAAGGAATTTGTAGTCACAGAAGCTGATGTTCATGATGTGTTTCTTTTACCTTGGGTTGTTGGTAGTGAAGTAGTTGAATCACAATGGGTAAGGAATACAAAAAACTCAAAACAAAAAACTTCAGGGCAGCTTGTAATGGAGAATTGGAAAAGAAAGTTTGGTGTAACTGGAGCAGGCAGTGTAAATCTAAGAAAAATAACTGATGCTATAAAAGAAGAGAAGGAAGGAGGAGATGAATTTAAAAGGTTATTTGTATTATTTGTTGTGTCTCATTTATTGGCACCAACATCTAATAGGACAGCTTGTTTACAGTTGGTGGTTGCATTAGAAGATGTTGGTAAGATAAAGGATCTAAACTGGTGTGGTTATGTGCTTAAGAAACTGTCCAGTGCAGTGCAAAGGTTCAAAAGAAATCATGAGAATACATTTGTGGGAGGATGCTTGTTGCTTCTGCAAACTTTGTATTTTCAAAGGTTGGTTTTCAAAGGAGTTGAAGTTCCAAAAACATTGCCCTTGATCAAGAATTGGAATTCTGAGAAAATCAAAGCAAGGGTAAAGGATGAGATAAAAGCTGGTGATTTTGGAAGAGGCCCTATCGATTCTTCCTACCCGATCTCAAAACAGAATATTTGTCTTCAAAAACAAATTGAAGTATTGAACAAGGAAGAACAAAGGTCAAGGTTCGTCAGATACGATATCCCAGAAGGAATGCCGACTGATGAGGATATTAACAAAACAGCAAAAGATGTGAGTATTTTTATTTAAAAGTTCTTATATATGCTTTAAAAGTTCACCTTTATTATTAATAAGTAATCTATTTTTTAGGAAAAGATATTAATTAAAGAATTGGTTTCTATTTTTATTCTCATTTCTTTAGGAGAAAAGTAAAACTCTGATGTTGGTGAAAAGGGATGTGGAACTGGTGTTCCGGGCTCACATGTCTCCAACACAAGAGATGGACGTTCAAGAACAACTTAGCCAAAATCAAAGCTCCCAATCCACAACAAGCTTAGACAAAATTTTTAATGACCCTAAAACGTTTGAGATTGTGGATGCTGTAGTTGATTGGCTGATGGATATGAAGCAAAACACAGAAGCAGAGAACATTGACAGAAACATTGAGATGGAGAATGTTGTATTTGTAACAGAGAAAGATGCTTCTGGGAATGAAGAAGGGGAACTGCAAACCAAGAAAAATGATGCTGGGAATGAAGAAAGGGAACGGCCAACTGACAAAGATGGTGCTAGTAATGAAGAAGGGGAACACTCAATTCAGAAAGATGGTGATTGGAATAAGGAAGGAGAAGAGCCAGAGGCAACAAACACTGAGAACAATGGTGCTGGGAAAGAAGGGATAACTGAAAAGCGAATGACATTCCTATCACAGTTCATGAAGCAAAGGCGTTCTACTCGTTGGCAATCAATGAAAGATTTTGATAAGCATCTTGTGGACTACTGTTTTTATGATGATGGAATGGAAAACGAGTAACAATTAATAAGAAATACTGCGTTCTGATTTACATTTATAAAAAGAATAGACTAATATATAAGAAGTTACTAAGTTGATATGTTTCTGTTTTGTTTTCCAGAGAACTGATTGTCAGGTTCAATGAAAGTCTTTATGTAACAAAGAAAGATATGATGTGCTTGGGCTCAACAAGCTTTATACCTCCTGCAATTGTGAACTGCTGGGCATATTATTTGAATGAAGAAGAGCTGATAGCCGAACAGGAAATGGGGAAAAGATTCTACTTTGGCATTTCACATGCAGTAAGAACTAATAATTCATTTTTTTATTTTATGAGTAGGACATTCTTGGAATAGATATTTATAGAATATGAAATCTTTCTGCAGCCCATATTGACTAAGATAATGCAAGAGGGATTTGATAATGAATCAAGGATTGCCTTAGATAGATCATGGGATGAATGGCTTTCTGTGAATAATCAACAATGGAACATTGCACAAGCAAATTTTGTAAGTATTTATTTTCG